AGGGAAAGAATCAGGTTACTATTGGTACATCATCCTCACTGACCAGTTTCAGAAGTAAACAGGCAGGTGTCTTTGCAAACATTCTTACTGGATTAATTTCCTCTGAAGGCGGAGGTAACATAGTAACTAGGTCATACTCAACCACACCAACATGAAGTCAATGTTTAAGTATTAGTCAATAAGCCCATTTCTTTAACATTCATATCCCAGCATGTGACTGTGGTGTGATTTAAGCACTGTGAATTTAGTAGTCAAACAAGAACAGCTGTGTGGATTATTGGAACTCCTTCGTTAATTAGACCAAAGTTTGTTGATCAAAATTTGAAGACATTGCTCTAAAGCAGCTAAAATAGTAAAGGACAGGCATTACTTATCTTTTCATACAAACTCAAGGACACTCAACAGACATGCATTGAAACTGAATAGAAAAAGACCAAATAATTTTATCTGCTTTTAAACTGCTCCTGAAAGTCAGTCTTGCAAATCCGATCAGGTAAGATTTAAGCAATCAGCATCACAGCATTCAGAGTAGGGAATAACATTGGTAGCTTTAGTACTTTAGTTTCTAGACCCTATTATAAAGCCTTCTGGTATCCTAGGTTCTTCCATTTAAAACACTAAGACCCCTACAAGACACCTAGTAGGAATGAGCAAAAAAGACTACTGCATTAGTGAGGGTTTTGCAGTAGTAAAAGCACATACTTCAGCCATAATAAAATATGGCACAGGCTATCCCCTTGGTCAGTTGGGGTCAGCTGTCCCAGCTGTGTCCCCTCTCAACCTCAGTCTTTCCATTTGGTAGGGTGTGTACAAACTGGGAAATGGAAAAGGCCCTTGACACTGTGCAAGAATTGCTCAGCAATAGGCAAAGCCTTGGTGTATTATCAACACTGTTTGTCACAAACCAAAAACACAGCACCCTGCTGGCATCTCTGAAGGAAGTTAAATCCACCATTGCCAGAACCAGTACAAGGACACATGATAAAACCCATTTCAGAAGATTCAGCACTGAAACAATTTTGGAGAGCTTAGATGCAAAACACATAGCTGAAGCAACAATACTACTGTGTTCAGAGTAGATAACACTCTGCACTGAGCAGTTACCGGGTGACTTTAGGTACTAGGATTTTTAAGTGGTTTTGATTTGGTTCAGCTGGCAGACTGAAAGAGGACTTCTTCCACATTTTCTCTACATTTTGGAAAGTAAGCATTTGCAAGTAGCTTCAAAGCACTTTCAGGCTTTTCTTCCTGAAGCTGCTGTGAGAAGAAATACTACAAGCACTACAAACAACAAACTTACTTTACTAAAGTTACTGCACTTCCAGGACATTGTATGAAACCAGTGCTGGATATGATGTGTCAAGCTGAACAATCATCAAAGTCTGTCAGCTGAACATCCTCCCTACAATTATCTTCTCTGGCCTCAGAAATTGCTCTAAATGTCAGGGGAGCTTATGGAATTTAATAATTTCAGGGTGGAATATGACACCTGCATTTGGACCAAAATATCAGTCTTTTTTTGCATCATCTAACAGTATCTGTTGGATTCTTCTAGTATAACTCCAACACTTTTTGGTGACTGCCACTACTTTAATGGCTTCCACTCTTGGCAATAACACTGCATCCATACCTTGATGGCTTCCCAAAAGTAGCATTATAAACTAGCAACACCCCACTTACATAATACATCAAAACCCCCAGCCAACATATCAATCCCCATGGAAATCCACAGTAGAAACATACTGCAGAAATATTAGTAAGAATAACCCTGAGCTCAAAGACATTGGTACTGACAGTCATTAGTTAAGTTTGTCACATAAGCAGATAGAATACACTTTTTTTAAACAAAAAAAAAAAAGTAGTGTTACCATGGACAGTGTGCCAGCATTTAAGATCAGGCTATGCAGAATTCCATGCATTTACAAACAGGCATCCATCCCACCAGCCTTATCAAACACTAGCAATCAACATTAGATTGGTTTTTTAGGTAAATCATGACTAAAAATGAACTTATCTTCAGGTAGGTAGGCTTTTAGCTTCACAGTAGAATTCAAGAAATTGGCAGTGTTGAGATGGTTAGATAAATCAGTCACGCTCTAAGTCCCCAAGGTAGTGGTGAAACTCAACAAGAGACATGACAAAAACTTGAGAAGTACCATAATTAACTGTAGATCTTTAAAGACATGAATTGCCAGGAAGGGAAAACAGTGTCTACTTTTCTTTCCACAGCTAGTAACTACAAAGATTTCAGCAGCATGCTCCAGTAAGAAAGAAACCCTACGTGGATTCACTGAAATCAATGCAAACAAACTCAACCACCCAGTGATCGAGCTGAGCTGCAGCACCAATGTAATCCCCAAGCACCCCATGAAAAGGATGCACTTTAATTTTATGCATCAGTGTAAGGAAAATGGCACCTGAAGGCTGTAGGTAAAAATCACACATCCTGATCAAATAACACTTGACATAGTTGTACATAACAGGACCATCAAGCAGAATGGCTGAGCTTCATTATTCAAATGTGTTGAGGGATCTTTTTCAATAAATGGGTTCTCATACAACACTTCTGAAGATTTTAATATACTGACATGAAAACAGTAACTTCAGTTCGCTGGAAACAGGTTTGTTGTTTTTAATTTTACCATAAAAAGGCAAAATAAACTCTTTCATTGTAATGTTATAGCTTTTAATATTCCTGAGCTGCATTTTAGAAGCAAAAGTATGTCTACATGGATTTAACAAGAGACACTGCAGCCTTACTTTCCAACACCACAAGTAAAAATAATTTAGCAACAAGGCCCCTTTTTCAGAAGACAATGACTGGCTCTGTATGTACCTGAAAAAATCCTTCAAGTGGCTCTATACCACCTGAAGCAATTACAAAGCCAAATGTCAACAAAATATGTCAACACCTTTTCAACCATTTTATCACTGCTTATTATTTCCTGCATCAGTGCACCTCTCTTAGATGGAAAGTATTGTACAAACAGCACTACATGTCAGAATAATTTGGGCCACAAAGCTTGGCACCATACAGACACATGAAGGAATCACAGAGTTTAAAAAGATAATCTGCTTATCTTCATAGTCGGTTTTAAGAAATGAATGCAAGTCCTGCTATCCATCTCCATCAGCAAAACCTCTACTTTGTCAAATGTGATTTCACTGAATGTACCAGAAAACATTTTAAATCAAATCTGTATGTAATAGCTTGTCAAATCTTGAGTTCCTATAACTGGCACTCGTGCACTTCTCAAGCCAAATTATGTGATACAGAGAGGAAAAAAAAAACTACATTGACTAAAATTAAGGTTTAGAAAACTGAAAATCAAGAAAACAGGCTGGTTTTTAGCATGGTAGGAACTCAAGCACAAGCACAGGTGTTTATACCTATATCGTGGTAGAAAACCTAGAAAGAGACAACAAAGCATGAAGGAACATCAGAATCATCAGGCATGTATTTTCTTAATTTCAGGGACTAGGTGCAAGTCAAGCATTGCTTGAAACAAATTTTCCTATAGTAGTTGCACTGATGAGGTCTGGTTTACAACTTTCTGGCCCTTTTGTCCAACCACGGTCTTTCCAAGTCCACTACCTACTCCAAGTACTCCTACGCTTACTCAGTGATCTCCTCCTCCTTCGTCTCCTACTCACACTTCTGCGACTGTGACTTCTTTCCCTTCTGTCCCGCTTACGTTCACTGCTGCCAGTTCTTCTGTAGCGGGAACGTCTGGGGCTGACGCTTCTCCGGCGAGGACTGTGGCTCCGGCGAGGGCTGTAACTTCTGCTGGAGTGTCTGTAATACCTTCTTTCTTTCCTGCGCTTTTCATCCCGATAATCTACATCTCTCCTGTGTCTGCTCCTCTCCTGTTTATCCTTGCTCTCATCAGTGTTGATGCTGCTACAGGAACGGCTCTTTCTTCTCCTCGGCTCTGTGCTACGTTTGCCCTGCTCACAGTGTGAGTCCTTCCTACAGGTATTCTGGTCAGAGCTAGAGAGGCTCCTCTGTTGCTGGTTATTGGTGGGAACACATGAAAGTACCCCTGAACTTCTCTCAGAACACCCCTCAGAGTTTGTGGTATGAACTGTCTGACCTTCTTTAACATAAACTTTGTCATGAATGTTGCCATTCAAGTACTTGCATTGAGCATTGACAGTCTCAGGTGATGCTACTTCTCTTTGAGAGCCAGAAGCCAGTTTGTCTGTAGCAGCCTGCCCTGAGGTAGAAGTGATGCAGCTGGATGACACTGTGTGTGGACCACTAGCGGCTTTTGACATGTCAGACTGAGATGCTTCAGTTTCTTCTTTATTTTGATTGACTTCATCCATTTTCTTGCTCAGAAGATTATTCAGTAGCTTCTCCCTCAGTTCCTTTTCTTTTCTCTGCAACCCCAGTGCTCTCTCTTTTTCCTCTTCCACACGTTTGAGCTCAGCCTCCTGAAGCCTTCGTCTCTCCTCTTGCTGCTGCAGACGAATCTTTTCTTCGTTATGTTCTTGCTCCAAAAGCTTTACTGTCTGAAAGAGTGAAAGGGAAGATAAGAGTAAACAAAAAAATACTTACAGACCTGCTCTTACTTACAGGCTCTATCATAACACAAAAGCAGCAATGTGGCCAGAAAATAAAACCTACCAAACAGAACAACCATCCTAAAATAAAACGGTTGTTTCTCTCTTAAAGGAAAAAAACCCAAAACCAAACATACAAAAAGCCCAATAACACACAGCTGCTGTAAAGTGAAACATTATGATTAGTCCCCAAACTATTTCAAGTGTGATATCTACCAGCTGTTTCACAAAGCAAAACCAAAGCTTAGTCTTTATGGCTCCTTAATATGACAAGGGAAACAAGCTAGAACAAGTGAAATCTGAAGAATTAAAACACATTTATCAGGGTGAGCACTTGAAGTCAAATTCGAAACACTGATTTATCTTAGATGATTGCAGTTTATGGTTCATACATGATGTTACAATGAGTTCATAAAAACCAGCAAATAATTTAACTCAGACATATGTAGAAACTGATTCTCATTTTGTCAATCATTTCAGAAACTCATGATACTGAGTTTCTGAAAAAAAGAAGGTTCAAACTTTTTTTTTTCATTCTGACCCAAATTACCAAGCTTAGTGTAGATCCCAAAATTCTGGGAGTAAAATAAACAAACTGTTCTGTTTTATCAGACAATATTTCTATTTTGCACTTGCAAAGCTATGAAGCCTGCAGGTACTTTTCCCTTCTCCTAGCATATAACTGACCACGCAGCACTGCATGAGTTCAAAAACACTCCTGAAGTACAATGGAATCAAGAAGAAAAAAACCAAAAACCTGTGGTTTGCTGCAGTTTTTAATTTCTACAGAAACAGCATACATGATACTAGAGCCTAAAATTACTTTATCCAAGTATTAAGCAAACTACATCCTGTTTCATTGAAAATTCACAATACTGTCACAGCAACGGGATCTAACAATCAAAACCTTAGCTGAC